GAGAAATCAAAGCATAAGAAACAGGTGACATTTTCTGAGGAAACACCGGAGGATGATATTGCAGAAAAGTTTGAAGACACATCAATTGAGGACACTCAGATTCCTGAAAGCACATCAAATAATCTGTGTATGAACACAAATAATTTGCCAAAAACAAAAACGTCACTTTGCAATTTGAGTGGCTCGGTTTTGCAAAAGTGTCAGACGAATCCTGCAAAAATCCAATGTGCATTTTGCCATAGTGCAGTAGAGTCCGAGGTATATGAGCTTTTCATTTGTACGCTATCCCTTCTTATTGGTATTATTTTTTTCATGTTTTGCTGTCCAAATTTCAGGATTCAGGACTTATGGTGCACTATCTGAATGGAAAGCCTACCACAGACCATATTGGAGCAACAAAAATCATAAGTGTGCACAAAAATTGTGCAGAGTGGTAAAATACTCTTACAAACAAATGTCAGGTTTTTGTTTCAATTTATGAGTTGGCATGACATCATTCTTGAAATGCTCTTCAATTTTTCTGGTTAGCCTAACTGTAATTTTGTGTAAAGTGGTTAGTGCAGAGATTTGAAAATGCAACTTTAAATTGTTTATATTAATCTCATCTAGCCTTAGTTGAAACAGTTTTTTACTCGTTCTTTTTACAAAAATGTGTGTGCGTGCAAACTCATGCATTGAAGTTATCTTTTAATGTTTAAAAGCTCACATGCAGGGCACCAAATGTATATTTTAATGATGATGATGAAATCATTAATCTTGAAACGGAATTGAGGAGAAGTAGGAATATTTCCTGCAGCTTCTGTGGAGTTAAAGGTGCAGCTCTGGGCTGCTATGAGAAGACTTGTCGTAAAAGTTTTCACGTTCCCTGTGCAAAGAGGACACCGCAGTGTCGATGGGACTATGTATGTTTACATTTTATATTACTATCAAAGCTACTTTTTCAATCCACATAATAAGTTGTTATGCTTGCTTTGTTATCAGGATAACTTTGTAATGTTATGCCCTCTACATGCATGTCATAAATTGCCAACTGAGTTACCTGCATTCAGATCAAGGGAGAAAAGGAAATGTGAGCTGAGGTAAGTTTCATAATGGTTCCATCTCCTTTTTTAAGAGCCTGCAATTTTTAGATACTACTCCTGTCCCAAAATAAACTTTTGAATGAAGAAAATTTGCAGTTTATATTCTTTCTCCCTCTGCATAAATCTCAACTACACAATTTCACTTTCTTAAACTTTGTGCATAAAGCAAATGAGAAATATAATTTTGGATGAAGGAAGTACAAGTTTGACATTCTTTTTTTTTTAATCTTTTACTCCACATTACAGGAATTCTTGTATCAATCAACCTCAAGTTTCAGTTGGAATCGATAGTCATGGAGGACTTTGGAAATCTCAGAGCAAAGATAAAAGCTTGGTGCTTTGCTGCTCAGCTATCTCTGATGCAGAGAAGGTGAAAAAAGAGGAACCCAGTTTATATGTTTGTATTTTAAGAGTATGTATGGTATCATTCTTCCACACTTCACAGAAATTAACATAATATCTAAATTTGCAGGCTATTGTTTCTGACTTGGAGCGGTTGTCAGGTGCAACACTACTGAAGACTTGGGACCCAAGTGTAACCCATCTCATTGCATCTACAGATGAGAATGGGGCATGTAAAAGAACATTCAAGTTTTTGATGGGTGTCTTGGGGGGTAAATGGATCCTCACAATTGAATGTTAGTATTTTTGAAAATATATATAGTACAGTTTTCTTTGCTTCTGATTTTATTTTGTTCTAACATTTGATTTCTGTTCTCCCAGGGATTAAAGCTTGCTTGAATGCTGCAGAGCTTCTTGATGAACACCAATATGAAATTGCAGTCGATACTCACGGAGTCAGAGATGGTCCTAGACTTGGCAGATTAAGAATGTCAAATAAGGTTGTTCCCTTCAGTTTCTGCTCATATGCAATATTTATTGTATACTAATATTTCTATTATGGAAATCCAAGGAAAGCATGCATATATATATAAGTAATATAACATTCTAAAAAGGTATTAATCAAATTTGATTTTCCTTTTATTCCAAGGTAAAAGCAAATGCTAAAAAAACTATTTTCATTGGCATTTTGCCATTAATAATTTGGGGTGAGGTGTGTGTGTGGGGGGGGGGTGAGGTTCACCTACTGGCTTTCCAATAATAATAACTTCAAACCTAGAGCACTCCCCTTAGCATTTACTATAAATTACTGATTCTTGAGCTACTCTGTCAATCTACAGCAACCCAAGCTTTTCAATGGATACAAGTTTTATTTCATGGGAGACTTTTTGCCTTCATACAAAAAGTATTTGCACGACCTGGTGGTTGCCGCCGGTGGAATTGTCCTGAACAGGAAGCCTGTGGATGAGCCAGCTCTTTCAACTGGATCCTCACCAACTCTCATTGTTTACAGCCTTGAGTTACCCGATGGCAAATGTGAGCCAAGGGAGAAAAGTTCAATCTTTGAGAACAGGCGGTTGGCTGCAGAAGCTTTGGCTAGTTCCACGGGTTCCTTAGCTGCAACCAATTCATGGATTCTAGACTCCATTGCAGGCTCCAAGTTGCAGCGCCTTATATAACCCTTCAAAACCTTCTGCGTCTCCTCTGCTCCACAATGGTGAGTATATAAAGCATTAATCATTGGTTTGCATTGGTGCTTTGGGTCTCCCTTGTTGCTGATGTAGGAGATTGGACTTTGTTTTATCACTTCTTGGGCAAGTTTTATGGTTAGATGCCTCCTGGTGGAATGGCATTTTTTGGAAAATGTTATGGAGTAGTATCAAGTAAGCGGAGGAATAAAAGTAGATTCAATATGCAATGTAAATTAAGACATGTAAATTAAGACGGAGAGAATGAAAATTACTAATTATAACTTCAAAATTACTTTTAGTGAAGGTTTTACATGTCGAGAAGAAATTTATAATTTGTGTAGTTTCTTTATACACATTAAATTATGTAATGTGTGTGTGTGCGCGCTTCTTTATACACATTAAATTATGTAATATATAGTTTTAAATTTTGACACTGTTAATTAGTGTCATGTCATGATTTAAGCATTTTATGTGCTCCTTTTGACGAAGTAATTTTAAGAGTAAATTCCATAATTGGTCCTTTATAACATGGGGGTTTCCCTATTTAGTCCTCTATTATCAAATATTACCCCAGTGGTCCTTTTTTATGGGTATTTTTCCGCAAATAGTCCTTTTTTGATCTTCTATCATGTTGGTGTTAATTTGAGGGCTAAAAGTGTAATTTCACATTGATAATATATCGTTTTTGTCATACAAAATTCCAAAGGTTCCGTATGCGTCGTTTGTGAATTACATTCACTTTCTACTACAACCATAGTTTACAAATGTGGTCTTTCGTCGGAATCCTAGCCCACAATCATAGTCATTATTTTTGTGTTATCCACTTAATCAATATCAGAACACGTCACTAGACATAATGTTGATGTCTAATTATACTTTTAGTCTTTAAATTAACACCCACATGGTGGAATATCAAAAAAAGACTATTTGTGGAAAGAAACCCTTAAAAAAAGGACTACGAGGGTAATATTTAATAATAGAGGATTAAATATAGAAATTCCCATGTTATAAAGTACCAATTTTGGAATTACTCTAATTTTAACTTCAATTTCACCTAAAACCCTACACCCAAAAATATGGTTGGAGATTGGATTCTCGATTAGGGTAAATCATCAAATACTCCATATTAGTTAAAAATTAAACTAAAGATAGAACAAGATAGGTCACATTCTTTTTCTAGTCTAGCCTCTGTGTTTATGGGGTCTATAATGCAAGAGACGATCGGTGTTCATCCTCTTCCATGTGATCGCAAAGCAGAGCTTCCCATTACGTCTATGGCGGAACATCCAAACAGTGACCCAATCGCTAATGACTTTCAGCCCATTCCTCTGCTGGAAGGCGTTCCACCCTCTGCCGTTGAGAACGTAGTACTTGTTCTTCACCCACCGCTTGAACACCGTCTCGTACTCCGCGCCCTGCGCGTTGTACAGCGTCACCGGAATCCCCTCGTCCACGTCCTCTTCCCCGTCGATCAACAGCGGCAAGAAGCACCTCTCCACGTGCCTCTTGACCATGAACAGCCGCCTCTGCTGCGAGTCGTCGAGGTCCGAGAGGGTGAGCTGCTTCTCGAAGGGGACCCCGCATGCCGCGGGGTCCACCACGCCCTCCAGGTTCGGAGGGTACCTCGGTAATACCGTCCCGTCAATGCTGTGACCCGCCGGCGGGGGCCACATGAACTTGACAGAAAAGGAAGGGGGAGGAGGAAGTTCTTCCCGGAGGGGGCGTTTTTTGTTTTTGTTTTTCTTTTTCTCCGTCCTGTCTCCGGGAAGAACCTTCTTTTTCCCCTTCATCAGTGTGAGCAGGTTCATGGCTTCTTCTACTCCCAAGGGTTTCCGGCTCATCCATACCAGATTTCCGGCCGCCCTCAAAACCTCCTCGTCATTCTCCGGTTGAGACTTAGCCGGCGCCGATCTTTTCATGATCATAATTAGTGTAACTTGTAAAAATAAAATAAAAATTTCAACTCTCTTGTTTGTATATATATAGTTGTGGTTTTCAAAAGTGGAACTTCACCTTTGTCCAAATTTGGAGTAATTAAAGAGGATTTTATGTCAAAAAAAGAATTTGAAAAAAAGAATTACAATTGGAATAGAATTGGAATGTTGGAAGATTATTGGAAGTGTAGAACTGCTAGGACAGTACTCTAATATTGCTAAAAACAAAATACTCTAATATTGAAATATATTTTGATTGGAAACTTTATGAAAGAAAAAAAAATTATTACGTAATTGGAAACTATTTTGTCCAAAGTAATACTCGCATGTATGGGTGAACTTATTATTTCTAATTCAGGTTTAGAAATTACTCGTAGTAGCAATAATAAAAATAAAGATAATAATAACAATTACTATCTCGCACCATCTTCGTCATCATTAATATCAATAAAATAATGAAAAGTCAAGTAATGTCATAATTTATATAAAAATAATAACAATTTCTTTTTTGCCAAAACAAATTAACAATTACCATTATAAATAAAATAGAGTTTAGTTTCTTACGGAGTATAATATTAGTATTATTTTCAATTATGAAAAATTGACATAAATACTTGATAAAATAATAATTTCATAAGTCATAATGCACTTTATAAGTCATAATGCACTTTATGTACTTCGGAGTTTAGACTACTTTTCTAGGTTCCCTCGGCATGACCCCATTCGTGCAAATTTTTCATGTCAAATTTACGTTTTTTTGTAGTGACACGCTGATGTGGTATGCATTACTCTCTTTTGCTTTTTAATAAACAAAATAAAATTTTTTGTTACCATGAATAAAATTATCATTGTATATATAATGTGTACGTTCAAAGTTTGTTGAAAAATATTACTAGTAAATACATGAAATGGGAAATAATGTATAACTTACAAACTAATGATGAATATATATACTCCCTCCGTCCCAAAAAGAATGGGACGGTTTGACTTTTTGGGAAATTAAGGGAAGGATATTTTGGTATTGACTTTCCAAAAATACCCTTGATGTGATGGGTAAAAGTAAGATGTGATGGGTAGATTATTAGAAAAAAGGTATGATGTGATAGGTAGGGTATGAAAAAGTTAGGAGTAAAAGTGGTTTTTTAATAGAAATGTAACGGACTTTACGGGACGCAGTTTTTTCTAAACGTAACAAACTTTTTGGGACGGAGGGAGTACAACATTATTGCACACTTGTACATCTAAATTTATAATATAAGACCTCCCAAATACATCTAAATATGAATTTTTAACTAGATTTTTTCTTACACATTTATGAAAAAAGTTGTGATGTAGTAGTCCAATTGTTCACGTGTGAAATATATATGGTCGTTCTCATTTATTTTCTATGAGCTACTAATCAGATTTTTTTCTTTTTACAAAGTTCAATACAAATGATCTTTATATGTATTAAGATCCATATAAAATGAAAATGGACTAAGTCCATAAAAAAATTTGTACAACTTACATAAAAAAAGACTAAAGTAATATTAAAACATAAGAAAAAACTACAATTAGAGCTTTGTATTGTTATACCCAAAAGAGACCTAAATTCATCATGCTAAAGTCTAAATGAAATTAATTTTCAAATAAAAACACAAAAGAGGAAATTACAATTCCTAGAAAAAATTACCACAGTTGATTCCACCATCGACGTTGCTCGTCATCATCTTTGCCACCGTCACAACCTACCTGTCATCACCATAATGTCACATTAAGTGTCTATAAAGTGTTAAACAAGGAATAATGCCAAATATAACAACCCATAACACCAAATTTTATGAGTGTTAAGTTTTATTCAAAAAGCTAAGTTGCTAATGCCAATGCCAATCCCAAAAAAAAAAAAAAGCTCTTCGCCATCCGCCCAATCGAAAAAGCCAATTGAAAACGCCTGTTTTTTTTAAAATGCCCTCGTAAAATCTACTTCCTTTGTAAAAAAAACCCTAAGCAGGGGAAAGTGGGAAACCGGCGAAAATGCCAAAGAAGAAGTTTGTATACAGGCCGAAGAAGAAAGATCCGGCGGGTGCTTCCTGTTCAGACCCGCCTCCTCCGCCGCCGCCATGGGCGGAGCTTCCGCGGGACATAACAGCCAACATTCTGCACAGGCTGGGAGCGGAGGAGGTCCTGAATAGTGCCATTAGGGTGTGCACCTCGTGGCGAAGCACGTGCAAGGATCCTTCCATGTGGCGCGTCGTCGACATGTCAAAATATGTTAGCTACCATGACAAGCTGGAGCAAATGTGTCGTTACATTGTGAATCTCAGCCAGGGAGAACTCCTGGACATTACCATTGAAGATTTTGGCAGTGATGAATTGATCCTCTATATTGCTAAGCGGTCAGCCATACCCGTCCTTTGTTTCATTTTCATATAATCCGTATTTACTTATTTAGTTTTTGGAAAAATGTTAGCATTGCTTTTGGATGATGATTTTGATACATTCCTGAAATGTGGATTATAGGTAGCTATGTTTATCTGTAAAAAGTTTGCTTTTCTTGGCCTTATTTTCAAATTTTTACGCCTTTTAAAAAAGTTCATTTCACTTCCTTAAAAAAGTTCATTTGACTTTAGTTTAGCACTTTAAGATAAAATTACTAGTTATTATTTGAATTAAGTTCAGTCCATTTTGGTTAAGCATTTGTTTGGGATTTGGGGGGGGGGGTGATGTGACTTCTGGAGGGCATATTCCATTTTCTGTTGCTTGGCTGTTCCGGAAAATAAGAGTCCACCTGAAATAATTTTCGAAGTCAACAGAAAATGAACCTTATTTGAAGGCGTATCCACCATCCTCTTTTCACATCGAAACTCACTATGTTATATTATGTTATAACCACATAAACTGTTTTTTTTCATTTTCCATGCTTTCAACCAAGCACAAAAAGCTGAAATTATATCCCAGAGGTCAACTTTCATAACTCATTTTCCAAAAATTATTTTCCATTTTTCCAAGCAGACTCTAAGTTCAGTTTAGTAAGTTTTAGTCGAAAACACATAGTGGGTATTAGACTAGCATATATAACAGTCATTCCCACATAGTAGTGTTATAACTTTAAAAGTTAATACGGAGTATAAATTTAATACAGCACTGGTGTTGTGTTGTTGATTATAACAAGAGTAGCATTTCATGGTCAGTAATTCAGTATAAATCCTTGATGTATACCTGACATATTATTAGCGAGACCATACATTTGATTAAGAGAGATCATATGTTTCTTAAAACATCAAATTGCATATTATGCAAAACTGGTTGTGAAATTATCTAAAGAAGCACAAAAAGGAAGCTAATAATGCACCATGCTATTAATATTATGGAAGCTTTGAAATTGTCCAAATGGATTTTACATTTGTTCTTCCCAGCTAGATGGTTGGGTTGCATCATGGTGTTCTACACTTAGGGTCCATTTGGTACACGGGATTGACAGAATTGGAATTAAATTGGAATTTAAATTTTATGGAATTGAATTTTTCAATTCCAATTCATTTTTTGCACTACCAATTCTAAATCCACATATTTTTGTGCTATCCAACAGCAGAATTGGAATTAAAGTCCCCAATTCCAATTCCATAGTTTGAATTCTGTGTACCAACTACCAAACGGAGCCTTATAGTTCATTTTCCATTGGTACAGTATCCCACGAAAAAATGTCATGATAGAGTTCATTACTTGTGGCTTATATTACAATTTCGTGCAGTGATTGTTATGTTTTTTTAATTACATTTTTTCGTGTGGTGGGTTGGAAATAAAATAGTACTACTATTTGGTGTTTCGATTGGAGACGACCTAAGAGTCTAATACTCTTTCTTGCTGTAAATAATTAACTGTATAGTGAAGTGTTCCGTCATGTTTCTAATGGGGTAAATGTTTTCAAATTTTATACTAATAATTTTATATTTGCATGAGGTGTCTGCAAGACTGCCAAGACATAACCTTACATATGAGCATTTGGAGATCTATAATAGGTTGCGGGCTAGTTGGCTTACCCAGTGTCTTTCTCTCGAAGATGTGGGTTCTAGGGGGTAGGTAGGTCTAGTAGGGTGTTTATTTTATGTTGTTTGCATTGTAGATAGATTTGCATTCTTTCTTATTGTTGTGTTACTTGTGTAACCTTTACGTTCTTGTGGAACAATGCTAATATGCATGTTTTGTCTTAATGAGCTGGGGTCTTTTAGATACATCCTCTACTTATTATAGGTAGGGGTATGGTCTGTGTACACTCACCATCAAACCCGACTAGTAGGACTACAGGAGTTACCTGTGTGGTTGTAAATATGTGCGTGTATGACTTTATGAGAGATACGATTTTCATTTATTTATGCAAATTATTTCATTTAAATTCCATCTTTCTCACCTTGTTTACTTTTCATGGATCAGACCAAGTTTCTCTTTCTTTGCTTTGTTTAACACTTCTTTAAAGTAGTTTACCAATGTAATAGACTATTTCTAGTAATACTTTGTGTAGTTTCTAAATACATAACCTTTACATACTAATTCTAAGTAAAATATCACAAAGTAAAATTTAAAATTTCCTTTGTTATTGGACTAATCAGAGTAATATTTCCATTTTGGGACCAAGATTAAAGAGGGTAATATCAGTGTATCTGTATCTCAGGTTTGCTAATTTGAGTGCAAGTTTACCAGTAATGACAACAATAAAACTCCGTATTGTGCCAACTCTATTGGGTCTATGGAGTCAAAATGTACATTGTCAGTAGCCATACCCTCTAAAAAAACAGAGAGATTGTTTCAGTCAGACCCTTGATGCATTATTGCACTTACTACCCAAAATCTCGTAGAATGTTAAAAGCAAAAGTTAAATGTGCCATTTTGATTTTTAGCCATCATTCACTCAAAGCTAAAACTTGTCCATTACTAATGGAGCTTAAATAGTCATTATTGACAATGTCATAGCTTCGGCAAAATAATGGAATAAATAAAAATGACACACTAAAATTGCATTGCTTCTTATTTTCTATGAAGTTGTGGGTAGTAGATGATGCATCAAGGGTCTAATGGAAATAGCCTCTGATTTTTTACAGGGGTAAAACTATATACATCTTGACCCTCGGACCCTTACGTAGTTGAGATTATATGAGATTTGTTGTTAATGTTGGCAATGGACACAATTTTGCACGTATGTTCTTATTTGTATTTGAAACATCAAAATATGTGTGTACCATTAGTATAAATAGTACCTGGGTAGATAAAACAACACAATCTATCATTTGTGTCATGCCTGTACGTGCTTTTTTTTCACATAATGTTATTGATTTAGTGCTTCCAATTTTCAGTGTGGAATTGCCAAGTTTCTTTTTGTTTTATATACTCATCCTTTAGAAAGTCAATTCACACTCGGCATTTAATTGAACAGAGCAAGCAAGCTTAGGCGGCTTCGTCTTGTATCCTGCCATTGTGTTTCTAATGAATCTTTGAGTGAAGCTGCCACCCAGCTTCCATCATTACAGGATCTTGAAATACACTTATCTGATCTATCAGCCGAATGCATCAAAACCATTGGTCGCTCTTGTCCGTTGCTCAAGTCATTTACTTATAACAAAAGTGAATTTCCCACAGCATCGTCTGACAACGAAGCTATAGCAGTTGCAGAAAACATGCAAGGGCTGCACCACCTTTCTCTCTTAGGAAACACCATGACAATGAAAGGCGTGCAGGCAATACTTGATGGTTGCCCGCATCTTGAATCTCTTGACTTGAGAAGGTGTTTCCATGTCATTCTTGCACAGGATTTGGGTGGATCGTGTAAGCAGATTAAAGATCTGAAGCACCCTATGGATCCAATTTGCGACTATGAATTCTCAAATTACATTGACGAGTATGGTGACGACTATGATGCCTTCTCTGATGGCTATCCTGTTGATTTTTTTGACTATTACGGTGATGATGATTTCGAGTATGATGACTATACTGATCCTTTCAGACCTGAGTACCTTGACGACTTCTATTCTGATGTACCACTGGTGAGAATACTAGTGCTGCCACCATTTTACTAGTTAGTTTCATCGCTCTTTTTTTTGCCGGTCCTCAAAACATATTGATTGTTCTTGCATACATGCAGGAATGGTTGATGTAGAGGGTTACACAATGGGCTTCCAGATGCTTTCGAAATGCTGATATGGTTTTTGATCTAAGTGTCTTTCGTTAGCGGCTCTGCTTCTAGTCCTGTCAAATATTGATCAATATTGTCTTTCTCGCATTACCTTAGTTAATGCTTCAGTCCGGGTTTCTACTTGCTGCTACTTTTGGATTTATTATGCTCGGTTCATTTCCGCCACTCTCTTTCCAAAAGAGATGCAATCACATTGGAGTGACACTTGGCGTATTACTCCGTAGGATTCACTACGGAGCATGTAAGAAGTTTGCTTTTGAACCGAGTGTTTACTGTAAGTACTTTGTGTGTGTATTGTTGGGATTTGACCCCTTTTGTTGCATTTTGAGTGCTTACATGATCACATCAAAACCAATGTGCTTATGTGCCTCTTTGCTCTTAAATGGAGACTCACTCGCCTCTAAAAGAATGTCTTGTTTTCTTTATCTGGGTGTCCTCAAAATAAATGTCTAGTGAGTGGCTCACATTATCTTTTTCATCTGCATAAACTTTCACTATATAATCTCACTTTATCTTAAATTTCGTAAAAGTTATTCCATGACATTTTTAGAATGGAGAGTTTTTTTTATGCACACTGGTCTCTCAAAGTCACAATATAATGACTAAACTAGACTGGACTTATGGAACCTCTAAACGAAGTTCTTTTTAAGCTTTGAATGGACAGTGTTAATTAATAGCCATCCTTGATTATTTTTTTTGGGTGCTTTTGGAGCTTGATCTTATTCCAAAGCTTTTTTAATAAAAAAAATTAATTAATAATAAATCTATGAATCTAACTAATAATTCTACCATGGAAAGACATTTTAGACATTTCAGTATATTTTTGTTGTCCCATTACTCAAATGTACCCCACAGTTTTTACACACTATTTTTAAGGGTCTTTGAGTTGTTGCTCCAAAACCAATGAACTTTGTTAATTTTACATTATAACAAGTAAATAGTGATATAGCAAGTACCTTTTTGTTTCATTCTCCAACTATAGCTTGATATTTTATTTTTAACTATTCGTTTGCTATAATTCGAGGAGTTTGTCATATTTAACAAACCAAAGTATTTTTTGGTGAACTTGAAAAAATATAGCACACCTTTTGGATCTGTCCAATAATATTATTCACAGTTTTGTTTTTAGTGTACTTTTTAAGGATAAATGTCAATAACACTCTTTACCCAAAGTAACTCACCTCCAAATTAAAGTAGGGATATCCCTAAAAGTTTGATACTCTTTTTCCTACTTATGGGAAGCACGTGCAAGGATCCTGCAATGTGGTGTGTCGTCGACCTCTCAAAGACCGCAGATACCGAGACCGATGACTTGGAGGAAATGTGCCGATACGCGGTGAATCTCAGCCATGGAGAACTCATTGACATTGCCATTGATGGCTTCTGCACTAATGAATCGATCCTCTATATTGCTAACCGGTCAGCACTACAAGTCTTTTGTTTCAGTTTCATTACTTTTGTAAGTTTCTCTTTTTGTTATATATACTCATCCTCTAAAACCCATAACCTACTCTCGTGGGGTCCAACTGGGTTGTTGTTCTTGTATCCTGCTACTTTGTCTCTAATGAATCTTTGAGAACGGCTACCACCCAGCTTCCATCATTACAGGACCTGCAAATATACTTCCCCGAGCTCTCGACTGAATGCATCAAAACCATTGGCCTCTCTTGCCCGTTGCTCAAGTCATTTACTTACGAAAATTGTGAACATCCCGGAGCGCCGTGTGATAACAAAGCTATAGCAGTTGCAGAGAAAATGCAAGGTCTGTGCCGCCTTTCTCTCTTCGGGATTGCCTTGACAGAGAAAGGCGTGCGGGCAATACTTGATGGTTGCCCGTATCTCGAATCTCTTGACTTGAGAAGGAGTTTCAATGTCACCACCCTTGAAGGCTATTTGGGTGGGAGGTGTAAGGAGATTAAACATCTAAAGCACCCTACCGACCCGATTTCCTACTATGAGGTCTTGCAATATGTTGAGGGGTATGGAGACGATGACGGAGACGACTATGATGCCCTTTCCGATGATGATGATTCTGACATTGATGATGATGGCGGTGGTAGTGGTTGTGATTTTGAGTTTGATGGTGACTACATTGATCTTTTAAGATATTTCCATGGCTTCAGTTCTGAAGATGTGCGCGAGAAAACCGAACCTGCAACATTTTTTCGTTCATTTTTATTTACCATTATATCTTGTTTGTGTTCTCAGAAATATGTTGTTCTTGGATTCAAGCAGGAATGGTTTATGTAGAGAGAAAAGGTTGCACGGTGTTCTCCCCGATGCTCTTTGCATATGCTGATTTGATTTTGGATCTGAAGAAATTTGCTTGGAATGTTATTTCCTGTGTTTCTTCTTTGAAAGTTTTTTTTTATTTTTTAAATTGTGTTTCCACTAGGACCTTTTTGGGTTCTTTTTCCACTTTTTTGAGACGTTAGTAATGGGATATTCATTTTGAGTGAATCCGGGCTTCCGTTTTTTCCTACTCTCCGACACTGGTACGTCACAGTTTTGAAAACCAGACTGCTCCGACCGGTCTGGATAGAGAACCGGGGAACCAATCGTCGGACTGGTCCGGTTTAACCTATTGGACCGCTTTGTGTATTAGACCATCAAGAACCAGTGTGAACACTTGACCTATAGGACATATTTCTAAATGAGTTAAATCCCAACTAATTGGGATAAAGTTCTTTTTGCTACCTACTTGTTTCATTAGTATCCTACCCCCTTCATCCCAAATCAAATTATTTATTCTATTCACAGTGTCAAATTTCAATCTTTTTGAGTGAATCCGGGCTTCCGTTTTTTCCTACTCTCCGACACTGGTACGTCACAGTTTTGAAACCAGACTGCTCCGACCGGTCTGGATAGAGAACCGGGGAACCAATCGTCGGACTGGTCCGGTTTAACCTATTGGACCGCTTTGTGTATTAGACCATCAAGAACCAGTGTGAACACTTGACCTATAGGACATATTTCTAAATGAGTTAAATCCCAACTAATTGGGCTAAAGTTCTTTTTGCTACGTACTTGTTTCATTAGTATCCTACCCCCTTCATCCCAAATCAAATTATTTATTCTATTCACAATGTCAAATTTCAATCTTTTTTTTCTTGATTTTTGTTAGTCATTTGATAAAATCATATAATCATGTCACCAATAGCATCTAATGTTACTTTCGTAAGATGCACCCATGCTTCGCAGAGACAATAATGTGTCGCACAATACACTTAAGGGGGGTGTATTCAATCCAAACTCTATAAGATTTTTTTGGATTTTAAAAGTCAGTGGGTATTCAATCAGGATTTTGAAAAATCAATTAAAATTTGGAGGTATTCAATGGAGATTTTAAAAAATCTTTCTAAATCTAATGATATTCAAAAGTTGGTAGATTTTTATGGATTGTTATAAACATTGGATTCTCATGGATTTTTGGTTTGAATTACGGCTTAAAAATTTGTTTTCAAATCCAACCAAAATCGCAGGTATTTTCTAGAATCCAACTTCTCGATCTCCTCCTCCTTCGAAAATCTTCTTCTCTTCTTCCCTAGAGCTCATCTTCTCGATCTCCTTCTCCGTCGGCGGATGTTCTTCTCTTTCATCGTGTTCAAGCCTTCAAGGCAAAGTGATTAATCATTCTTCAAAAGTGATGAAGCAATCGGATACAGAGCCTTCAAGGTAAAGTAATTATCAGTTTTTTTAGTCCGTATGTTCTGCAATTTGGGCATAATACAGTCCGTATATTCTGCAATTTTGGCATAATAATGCTACTATAATAATACGCCTTTTGGCCTACTATTGGGACAGATTTGGGTATGACCTTTTGAATGCTCTGTTCGTGCATTTACAGATGCACTGCTACACTTTTGCAAGCTTATGAGGATTACATCTAAAAGCTATACATATTTGTTTTTTTCTTTCTTTTTTAAAGCTATAGATATTTGTTACAACAATGTATAAATGTATAAAATAATTCATATTTATGTATAAATAATCTATGGATTATAAACAATTAGACAGAATCTTTTAAAATCCTATTGATAAAATATATTAAAATCTATCAAACTCTGCATAGACTTAAAACAATCTATAGATTTTGTATAATCCATAGACTTTAAACAATCTATCTAAATCTTTCATAATCCTAATTGAATACACCCCCCTTAATACAGAGTCATTCAAAAGTGAAACGGGCCTAATAAATCCAAAACTAGTACTCCCTCTCTCTCATTTTAAATTGCTTGTTTGCCTTTTTTCTCCGTCCCAAAATAAGTTGTCTGTTACTTGTTATCGTAAACTTTAAAGAGTAAAATACATAAACTACTCCTAAAATAAGTCACTATTCTCCACCTTATCTTCTCATTCATCGTCGCCCCTCTTAAAAAGTAATATGACAATTTCAGAAAATAAACTCTATTTTTTCTCTTCCTTTAATATGCCCAAAATTCTAAACAAGCGATTTAAAACGGGACGGAGGGAGTAGCAAGTAGAAACCCAGGTACATGCAATAACTAAGGTAAGTGAGGAAGACATTCATCAATACTTGACAGGATTAGGAGCATCTAACAAAGACCGTCTGTTCAGATCCGCTGACAAAAGGCACTCAGACCCAAAACCATATCATCATTTGCAAAGCATTGGGAAGCCCATCGCGTAACCCTCTATATTCACCAGTCCTGCATGAATGCGAGAACAAGATGTTTTGAGGAGGTAATAAAAACTAACGAAAAGCTGCAGATGCAGAAATCTCACCACTGATAGATCAGAATCGAACCCATCATCATAGTCATCATCAAAGTCAAAATCATCATCATCATCATCATCATAATCATACATGTCAGAATAATCAAGAGGATAGCCATCTAAAGCATAGTAGTCTTCGTCATAGTGCGAAACATAATTCAAGAACTCATAGTCGTGGAATGGATCGGTAGGGCGCTTTAGATCTTTAATCTGCTTACATTTTCGATCCAAATCCCCTTCAAGGTTGACATTGAAACACCTTCTCAAGTCAAGAGATTCAAGATGGGGGCAATCATCATGTATTGCCCGCACGCCCTTATTTGTCACGGTGTTTCCAAAAAGAGAAAGTTGGTGCAACCCTTGCATGTTTTCGGCAACTGCTTTAGCTTTATTATCAGACAACGTTGGGGGACATGGATAATTGTTATAAGTAAATGACTTCAGGAATGGACAAGAGCGACCAACGGTTCTGATGAGTTTGATTGATAGATCAGAGTAGTATATTTGCAGATCCTGTAATGATAGAAGCTGGGAAACAGCCTTACTCAAACATTCATTAGAAACACCATAGCAGGATACAATCCGAAGCCGCCTAAGCTTGCTCGCTCTGTTCAATTAAATGCAAAATGTAAAATGAATTTCTAAAGATGAATGTATAAAACAAAAGAGAAGTTTAGCAATACCAGACTGGCCAATGGAAGCAATAAATCAATAACATTATGTGGAAAGAAGCACATGAAGGCATGATACATGCAATCCTTATGGTGCTATATCTACCAAGGCAATATTTATACAAATGATACATCCATTTCTTTTGTTTCAAACATAAATAAGCACCCACAGCTAAAATTGTGTGTTCATTGCCAACAACAAACCGAGTATAATCCCAACTAAAGAGTCTTTTTTTTGTGGGGTGGGAAGGTGGTGGTGGGGGGGGGGGTCAAAATATATATAGTCTTACACTGGTAAAAAACAGAGATTGTTTTCATTAGACCCTTGATGCACTACTACCCACAACCTCATGGAAGATAAGAATGAATGGAGGTTGAATGAGTCATCTTGATCTATCCTATTAATTGATTGAAGCTATGGCATTGTCAGTAAGTGATGGTCAATATCCCCCAAAGAAGACCTAGGTAGGCTGGTAGAGAGGAAAAGGTAGTGGAAAGTTAGTAAGTAGAGCGAGAGAGTACATGCACAACACTCTTATTCAAAAATTTGATTTCAAATCTGTTACAATGAGGGGGAAGGGAGTATTCATAGTGGAAGAGGAATCTCTGTCTAGACTAAGTACAATGAATGTTGTCCCTTGATGGGGCGTCGCTTGTCGCGTAGGGTGTGACATGTTCCTCTTGTCCCGACATGCCTTGAAAGTCGTCAAAGCATCTTCTTGTATCTCTAGCGTGTTGCACATGTCTTAGTACTTGGTCATTCAGAGCACTTTTTAGGTACACTTGTTATAGAGTGTATCCATTATGCTCTGCATTGAAATGCGCTGAAGAGTGGATGTCTAAAGGTGCACATGGTCTTGCTAAGTACGACTAGTGTGTACCCTTTGCGAGGGAGTGAATGCATAGGTCCTTGATTCGGTTGTTTGGAGACGACTAGAGCTTCAAATGACCACCGTTGGGGACGACCTCAGGACCCTTGATCACTCCCACACTACCCATGACTTAAGTCTGTTTTAGAGTTTAGGTGGGCATGGCCCATTGTACCTAGGCCAAAATATGTGAGGCCTATGCCTCCATCAATAATGAATCTTAGTTTTGAGTAAATGATGAACTAAATAAAATTGGCACATTCAACTTACTTAGCTTCTCACATTCTATGCAGTTTTGAGTTGTAAGTGCAACAATGCATTAAGAGTCTAAGGAAACAGTCTATTTTTTAAGATGGAAAAGGCTACTGACTTCGTACATTTTGATCCCGTAGACCCAAATGGAGTTAAGATTATACTAGATTTTTTTGTTGCTTACACTCAAAATAGCAACATGAGAGACATATACACAATGGAACTCATATGAAGACTGCCCTCCTTATTCTTGGTCCTAAAATGGATACATTACGCTGATATTCTGATAACTAAGTACATTTTTAAATTTTACTTTTATTGGCATTTTACTTAGTATTCGCAAGTAAAAAGTTTTATACTCCATCCGTCCCAAAGTTATCATCATAACCTTGATAGCTTTTGTTTGTTTGCATATTTTCGTTGACTATTTGATAAAAGAAAATATTCTTGTCACCTCTTGTTTTGTAGGACTCTTGATGTAGTTTTTTAATATGTAATTTTTACATTTTATTTTTATGCTAATTTTTAAACAAAATAATGTGAAAAGAGATAAGATCTTGCATATTGTTCAAAGTGTGACTATAACTTTGGAAGGGAGGGAGTATTTGGAAACAACACAAAGTATTATTAGACATAATGTATCAACTTGGAAACGGCATATGACGGGGTTCCAAGCGAAGTCTTGTGGAGGTGTTTCGAGTACGGAACATGTATGTCGGAACGAGGACCAAGGTGAAGGCTGCGGGTGGTGACTCTGACACTTTTCCAGTAGAGATGGGTTGCACCAAAGGTCTGCCATTAGTCCTTTTCTTATTGCGTTGGTAACAGATGTTTTGGTGCAGCATATCAAGGGGAGGTGCCGTGGTGCATGCTTTTAGCTAACAATATTGTACTGATTTATAAGTCTCATGAGGGACTTAATGACAAACTAGAAGTATGGCGTCAGTAGCTGTGATCCAAATACTTTAAAGTAGCTGTGATCCAAATACTTTAAATTAAGTACGACCAAGACGGAGTACGTGGAATGTTTCTTCAGTGGTAGGTCGACCTAGTCAAAAGTTGAACTACGGATTGATTCACACTTAGTGCCGAAGAGAGGCAAGTTTAAGTACCTTGGTTTGATCATTCAAAGCGATGGGGAGATCAATGGATATGTGGTTCATCATATCGGAGTCACTTAGGTAAAGTGGAGGTTGACTTCAAGTGCACTTAGTGACAAGACAACTTCAACACATACGAAAGGGAAGTTTTATAGAGCAGTGCTAACACATGCTATGTTGTTCGGAAAAAAAGTGCAGGTCAATAAAGAAATGCATGTTTAGCTTTAAGTGTTAGAGATGAGGATGATGAAGAGATGTATGGTCTTACAAGGATGGATAAGATCTGAATTTAGGTAATTCAAGGAATGGTGGAAGTAGCTCCCGTGGAGGATAAATTGTACAAAGCTAGACTGCAATGGTTTGTACACGTAAAGATGAGAAGTGCTAAGGCCCCAGTGAAGAGATGCGGAGGGTTGAGATAATGAGAGTGAGTAGGGGTAGAGGTAGACTTAGTAAGAAATGAAAGGAGGTGATTAGACAAGATCTACAACTTAAGGATCTACAACTTAAGGATCTTACCCAAGATATAACCCCTTAGATAGGAACATTTACACTATGTTTGGCTCAAGAATTTTGGAAGGAAAAGAAAAGAAAATGGTTTTTTCTCATTTTCCTCACCAAAATGGAAGGAATTTGATTTTCCCTCCACTTGCTACATTTTGCCTCCTCATTTTCTTTTCCTTCCACTTTTCTTTTCTTTTCCCCTCTAACCAAACAAGAAAAATGGGTTTCCACTTCATTTTCTTTTCTTTTCCCTTTCAAATTCCTTGAACCAAACATAGTGTTAAAGATCTCAAATTAGAGTATATGGTCTTACCTCAGTTCATGTTATTGTGTTTCCTTTGTACTTTTGTGCATGAAGTGGGGTTCTCTTGGAAATAGCATCTCCACTATCAAGTAGGACTGTGGGAGTAAGGTCTACATACACACAAACCTCCATGGGATCCTACTTTTGTGAGATTTTAATGGGAATGTTATTGTTGGTGTAAGCTTCACATGGGCAAATTATTTTAAGAAGTGTTAAAGCATTGAGAGAAATATTGGTTTGATTTGTGTTTTTGATTAACATGGTAGAGATTTTGAAATAGTCATGATTATGCATTATGATAAATGGAACATTGGAATGCATATGAAAATAGTTTGAATAAATAAACAAGTCATATTTTGAAAAAACTCACACTTTTATAACATAGTTTAGTCATACTAGTGGGGTTGAGGGGGGTGTTTTTTTGACTTGACTCCTACCTATAAATTAAGATCTAGGAAAAGAAGCCACCAGGAGCATATCTTCTTTAAAATGGGGGCACTCAATTAGGTTATCAATTTTTCTTAAATATTATACGAATGGAAGTGGCTAGATCCGCCACTTCCTATAATATGTAGAGGTTGTTCATGAAAGATTCCCGACTCATAAGGACATGGTAAGCATATTACCAAGTAATACAAAAAAGCAAAGGTTACACAACACATCAATAAGGATGCAAATTTATCTACTATACAAACGACATAAAAAAGACCCTACTAGACCTTGCTACCTCCTAAAACCCGTGTCGACAAGAGAAAGACATGAAGGTAAGCCAACTACCCTTCCAAATTAAATCCAGATCTCTAAAGTCTCATATCTAAGGTTATGATATGAGTTAGTTGCGTAAGCTTCATGCATGTATAAAACTATTAGTACAAAATTTGAGAACATATGCTCAATAATAAACATAACCAAAAACTAGGAGCGCTTCTATAAATGTAGACAAACTTTTTCATATTTACAGTTACAAAGAGTCTTACATTCTTAAGAGTCTCATGTCATCTCCAGTCAAAACTCTAAATAGTACTACCTCCGCCCTAGAGTATTCGTCCAGTTGAACTTTTTCGAGTCAAACTAGACAAACTTTGATCATCGATTAAATAAAAAAATGTATAGTATATTAGTACAAAAATAATTTCATTGCATTTATCTCGTGGATAACTTTAAGAAACTTATGTCATTGTATGTAACACAAATTTTAAGCAATTGATGATTATAGCATGGGGCATTATCAACTTCATTTTTTATGCTTCTTTAACTAACTTGATTACCAGTTTTGCACAAGACACAATTCAAGTTGTTTTTACTAATATATGGTCTCCTTTAATCAAATACATGGTATTTAAAAACTCTAAAGTATAAGTCCCACTCGAAAGTAGAGGCTATTTCCAAGAGAATCCAACTCAGGCAGAAGGAAAGCAAATATCATGCAAGAAAAACAAATAAAAATTAATGTCAAGAAAAGTGAAGAGCAATTTCTTAAGAAGAATGAATAGTTATGGCAATATGAATTGATGGTCGAATTGTCAAAGGCAACAAACAAGCATATAGGTCTAGCCTTTGGATCAAATTTCAAAACAAAGAGTATATATATGGCAGTTTCCCTGCATTGAACACAACACGATAAACTGCGTCAACAATTGAGACTGCCCCCTCAAAAACAAGAAACTGAAGTAAATGTTGGCCGCGTGAAATTGAGCATTCGCAGATGTCAAAATTTTAAGCGAGAACCCATCGGATCGGCCGTATTTCGTGATCGCGAAATATTTTGAAAAAAGCTTTGCTGTAAAACCTCTCTTCGTGGTGAGAGAGAAGAAATGTGATCTCTGTCGTAATAGAAGAAAGGTGCCTAAGAAGAGTTTTGAATCTTTTGATGTCTGCCGGCAATGGAGCACGAGCACCATGGCCGTCGAAGAAGACGAAGTTTTGGTACATATATATTTAAGTTAGATTAATTTTTAAAGCTATGCCACTAATGTGTGGGAATGATTATTTTATCTGAATATTGGATGATTTAGAATACCTTCTCTTGGAGTAAAACTTACTGAATGGAACTCAATGGAGATAGCCTAAAAGTTAATTGCTATTTTAAGTAAAAGTGCTGAGTTGAGTGAACGTGAATTGACATTCAATGAATAAGCAAACCCAAGTGCAATTCAGCTACCTAAAATCATCAAATGTATTAAAAACCATCTTCCAAAAAAGCAATACCAAAATTTATCAAAAACCTAATAAATAAATCAAAGAGGGGTAAGGCTGACCGCTTAGCAATATGGAGGATCAAATCATCAGTGCCAAAATCTTCAATGGTAATGTCCAGGAGTTCTCCCTGGCTGAGATTCACTGCGTAACAGCACATATCTTCCAGCTCTTCAAAGTTTGTATTAGATTTTGACATGCCGATGACACGCCACATGGCAGGATCCTTGCACGTACTTCGCCATGAGGTGCACACCATGATGGCACTCTTCAAGACCTCCTCCGCTCCCAGTCTGTACAGAATGTTGGCCGTTATGTCCCGCGGAAGCTCCGCCCATGGAGGTGGTGGAGGATCTTTCTTCTTTGGCCTCCATACATACTTCTTCTGCCTCTCCGTGTAACGCTTTGGCATTTTTTTCCAATTTCCCCTTCTTAGGGTTTTTAGAGGAAGTGGATTGTCCCCAGAAGTCTATAAAATCAAGTCAAACAGCTAATTTTAAGCAAAAATGAACTGTATTAGATTTAGATGGGCATTTTAAAATCTTTATTGAACATATCAAGATTTTAAATAATTTTTTGAAGTCCTAATTTAATACATCTATATTTTAAACGATTTTTTAAAATCCAGATTGAATACCCATAGATTTTTCAAATACATATAAAATCTTACAAACTCCATGTTGAATACACCCCTGACCCCCCTTAATTGATTTTGATGTGTATACATTGATTGTTTGTAGGTGGATTTTTGTGTGTGAAATGGAGAAAAATTCAAGTCTACGAGCTATACTTTATGGGACAAAGCTCTCTAGCCAGGGTTATCGATGGGAGTGTAACATTGTCCACCCCCACGAAGGTAATGAATGAAATGTCAAAAGCAGTTGCACCTAAGGTTGGCATGCATTTTGATAGTGTTGAAGCGTTTGGGGAATTTGACAACACATATAACATAACAAACAGATTTCATACAAGAAAATGCACAAGTAGAGGGAACGACTACTTTTGGTGGGTGTGTCGTAAAGTGCGCTTCCACAAGGCAAAAGCAACTAATTGAAACACCTTGTATAATAAAAAAAGAAAAACCATGATGGTTAGAGTTGGTTGCCAGGGTGCAATAAGTTTGAAGTTTGATAAACAGAGTGGGAAGTGGGTTGTCTAATCATTCACAACAGAGCACAACCATGAAATTGTGACAATATACAAGGCACACTATGTGGCTACTGGCGTTACCATAGAAGAAAGCAACGGTAAGGTGATTGAAATGTTTAAGGAATAAGGACCATGCGTCAAAGTAAAAATATCATAGATGAAACAAAAATTAAAGTTGATGAACAAGAATATAGATGCATAATCCAATCAGAGTAAAAAAAACGTAATCTGTAGAATCTTTCGTCTAATCAGATGTGTTCTTAATCTCTGGAATATGAGGGGGGAAACCGTAAGTGAAGCCAAATCAGATGAGTAAGCAAAACAAAAATGCACTTATTATTAAAAGAATCTTAAAATCATTTGAGAAACTTTTTGAATCTGATAGAGGGGAGCATTTGATTTCCTCCAAAAACATGAAAGACACCTTAAAAAAGGGTAGAGCCTTGGGAGGGTGCGGCAGGAGTGATGAGAGAGCCTCTGGGTTAGGGTAGCTTGAACTAGTTTTGGCCTATATTGGTACAAAGTAAGGCTCCCACAATGTAAAAAAAATCACTGGTGAAGCAAAAAATTGAGAATCATGAATAGAGATAAAACTGTTCAATCATGGAGATGTCAACTATCTCACAAATTTATACACCCCATTCGAAACTTGCACAAAATTGGGAAAAAAACATGCCAAACTTAGACTAGGGTTTATACCTGGAAGGAGGTAGCCTCGGGCTTGAGGGTGGCGACCTTGAGCTGGATGGGAGGTGGCGTCGGCTCTAAGGGCTTGGCTAGCGTAGCTCTTCGTCCATCCAGAAATGGCGATGCGCAGAGACGGAAGAGGGAGTGGCTTGGAAAGATTTAATGACCTGTGGTTGTAACTTGTAAGAGCCTCTTTAACTAGAAAAAAAGAGGTAGATATGGGAAGAAATTAGAAGGAATTAGAAAAAATTGAAAAAAACTTGAAATATTGAAAGAATTTTTTAATAAAGTTTAAAATATCAATGTTTTCTTATTTTATTATGTAGATTAATATACAAAAAATTGTATTATTCATATTAAAAAATTGAAGAAAAAAATAATGTGTGTGAATCATAAAAATAGTGAGATTAAAAAAATAATTTATAAACTAGAGTTATGAACATAACTTTTGTAATAGTAATAATAATAATCACATTAAAAATATATCGTTTTTAGAGTAATTAAGTAGGATAGAAAGAGTTTAAAGAAAATGAGAATAGTTAGAGGAAACTAGAAGAAACTAGAAAAAAACTGGAAGTAACTCGATAAACTGGATGAAACTAGAAGGTATTGGAAGAAAACTGAAAGTAAGTGGAAGAAATTGGGAGGACTTTTTAATATAGTTTAAAATATTAATGTTTTCCTATTTTATTATATAGATTAATATACAAAATATTGTATTATTCATATTAAAAAATTGAAGAAAAAATAATGAGTGTGAATCATAAAAATAGTGAGATGAAAAAAATAATTTATAAACTAGAGTTATGAGCATAACTTTTGTAATAATAATAATAATCACATTAAAAATATATCGTTTTTAGAGTAATTAGTTGAGGAATAGAAAGAGTTTAAAGAAAATGATAATAGTTAGAGGAAACTAGAAAGAACTAGAAGAAACTGGAAGGAACTAGAAGAAACTGAAAGGAACTCGATAAATTGGATGAAACTAGAAAGAACGAGAAGAAACTGGAAATAACTGAAAGAAATTGGAAGAACTTTTTAATATAGTTTAAAATATTAATGTTTTCCAATTTTATTATGTAGATTAATATACAAAAAATTGTATTATTCTTATTTAAAAAATGAAGAAAAAATAATGAGTGTGAATCATAAAAATAAAGAGATGAAAAAAAAATTATTTATAAACTAGAGTTATGAATATAACTTTTGTAATAATAATAATAATAATAATAATAACATTAAAATATATCATTTTTAGAGTAATCAATCCTATACTTAAAAGAAAGGAAAATCTCGTCCAGTCAATTTCCCGCCCAAATGCACACATCTGTGAGCCGTCGATCTTTGAAGATTTCATTATCTACGATTGATATACGAAAATCTAAAAAATGTACGAATTTCATAGTATATTATTACATAGGTACCATTAAAGAACGAAATAAATACAAAATGGTAAGAATTAAAAAAGGAAATCAGAAGCAAATGTTGTGTTATATTGTTTTATTTTTTCTAATTCAATATTTGCATTACTTTTTGCTTTTTTTTTAATTTCTAAATACGAAAATAATTTGATTTAATTTTAATATTGAAATAATAATATAATATTAATGGTATCAATCAATCATATTCTTAAAAGTAGGGGAAATCTCGCCCAGTCAATTCCCCCCCCCAAATGCACACATCTGTGAGCCGTCGATCTTTGAAAATTTCATTGTCTACGGTTGATATACGAAAATCTAAAAAAAGTAAGAATTTCATACTCCCTCCGCCCCCCTAAGATCTTCTCGCTTTGACTTTTTGTAGTTTTTAAGGAGAGTTGAAAAAGGTGAAAGTTTACCAAAATACCCTTAATGAAAATGGTGGGGTGTATTAAATAAGGTGGAAAATGTGTAATGAATAAAGTGAGTTGGGATAGTTGTGGTATTTTAAATGTTAAAAAAGATAATGAGAAGATCTATGTAGGACAAATAAAAAGGGTTAATGAGAAGATCTATGGGAGACGCAGGGAGTACTATATTATTACATAAGTATTATTAAAGAACGAAATAAATACAAAATGGTAAGAATTAAAAAACGAAATCAGAAGCAAAGGTTGCGTTATATTGTTTTATTTTTTCTAATTCCATATTTGCGTTACTTTTTGTTTTTTTTAATTTTTAAATATGAAAATAATTTAATTTAATTTTTATGCTGAAATAATAAAACAATATTAATGGTAATGCGTTAAAAGTTTTGTAACATGATCAGATAAAATCTAATATATTACATTTAAAAGTCTGTATATATAATATTACCCCGCAAGTATAATTCACTTTAAAGTCTAAAATTTTGACCTCAAAATCAACTAAAATTGCAGGGTGCAATTGACGTAGGTGTGAGATGAGTTGGGGCCGGAACTGGGCAAGGGGTTTACCGGTGGGTTAGGAGGGATAAGAATAATCAATTTTACGAATAAAATATTGTATGTGTCTGAATCGAGACAGTGACTTCCGTGACTACTAAAACCCAATGGCCACGGAACCCTGTCGAGATATAATATGCATACTATACCTACTTAAGTATAATACGTGTATAAATAAAAAGGATTAAATTATGTGTACCCAAAGATTTGTGCCTCGCAAGTTTGGACCTTTATTTTGTGTTAGTGCAATGATAAGGTGATAGTTCGTACAAATATAAAATGTTAGTGTAATTTTTTATTAAAACACTAGCATTTTGTATCAGTGTGAACAATAAAAATATTAACGTATACTTTTAGTGTAACTTATGGTATAATTTTTGGTGTAGGTGTAGCATCCAATTAAAAAACACATTGGGGGAGATTAAGAGAAATCAACGGAAATAACAGTAACCCCTTGACGAGCAAGATTACACAAACCCTACGCCGCCGCCTGCCGTCGCCACCTGCCTGAGGGAGAACTGTGAAGTGAGATTATCTATCGTAAACCTTCTCCGATATCTTTTTATTGAAGCAAAATCGGACTTGGGAGGATTTGTGCCGGATAACCCGACCCGTTTGCAATCCGCCGAGCCCTAGACCAAAATTGTTCAAGCTAAGATGGATGAAGAGGAAATTGAGAAAACAGTGATAGCGTATCTGAAAAAGAAGGGCTTCAAGCAAACGGAGCTTGCTTTCCAGGAGGAGCACAAACAGAACAAAAGGTCTTCTTCTCTATCCAACGCTAATTACTCCTCGGCCAGTTCCCAAACTGGCCCTCACATTGCCAAACACGCCCTCCCTTTTCCCCAATTCTCTGAAAGTGTTTCTGAAAAGTACCACGACGGGTACATCAAGCTTCGGTCTTGGGCGGATACCTCTCTAGATTTGTATAAAATTGAATTGCTTCGCGTGTTGTACCCTGTATTCATACACTGTTTCATGGATCTTGTGGCTAAGGGCCACGTTCAGGAGGCCAGGTCGTTTTTTAACAGCTTCCGGGAAGACCATGAGATGACTCACTCGCGGGATCTCCAGAAGCTGGAAGGTGTCCTGTCGCCATCACATCTGGAGGAGATGGAGTTTGCTCATTCTTTAAGGCATAGCAAAGTGAGCATTAGAATGTGTCAGTATTCGTATGACCTTTTGCTGCAATACTTGCACAAGCCACATGCCATTGTGATGTTGGGGATGATAAATGAACACGTAAACTTTCAAGTTTCTCCTCCTGGTTTGGTTCCAGATGATGATGGCCAAGAGGTAGATATTGTTACAGGGATTGGCTCGGAAACTGCGGGTTTGGTGAACCAGAAAGAAGTTCACTGGGGAATACTTGAAGATTCGTTGGAGGAGAAGGCAGGAGGTTTAGGTTTGCTCTCGGATTCAGAGAAGGTTGGTGGGGAGTCTAAAGAGGGAGAAATGGATGAGAAGAAGATGAAATCGGTTGAAGGAGGAAAGCAAGGCGGAGGTTCTTCAATGAAAAAGGGGAAGAAAGAAAAGGTTGAGAAAGTTAAGCCAGAGTTACCTTTGCCAGCAATAGATATGGATGTAGAGCAGTCCATTCTTGAAGACTTGAGGAATCGCGTGCATCTGAATAGCCTGTCTTTGCCCTCAGTGAACATGTATACCTTTCTGAACACCCAAAATGCACTGAACTGTGTATCAATATCTCATGATGGATCATTGGTGGCTGGAGGGTTTTCGGATTCTTCCCTGAAATTGTGGGACATGGCAAATCCACAAAGAAAGTGCTACACATCGCTTCACGGTCATTCCGGGCCCGTTTACTCTTCCACCTTCAGTCCTTGTGGCGATTTTCTCCTCTCCTCATCATCCGATTCGACCGTTCGGCTGTGGAGCACGAAATTCAATGCAAATCTTGTTTGCTACAAGGGCCATAATTATCCGGTGTGGGATGTTCAATTCAGTCCGGTTGGGCACTACTTTGCCAGTGCCTCACATGACCGAACCGCTAGGCTGTGGTCAATGGACAGAACACAACCACTCCGGATAATGGCGGGCCACTTATCGGATGTTGATTGTGTGCAATGGCATTCAAACTGCAACTACATTGCGACCGGGTCAAGCGACAAGACAGTTCGCTTGTGGGATGTGCAACGCGGGGAGTGTGTGAGGATTTTCATTGGCCATAGGAGCATGGTGTTGTCAATGGCAATGTCACCAGATGGTCGCTATATGGCATCGGGCGATGAAGATGGGAAGATAATGGTTTGGGATCTTGGCAGCGGGCAATGCCTAACACCTCTGGTTGGTCACACTTCATGTGTGTGGACACTTGCTTTCAGCTGTGAAGGCTCGCTTCTCGCCTCTGGCTCTGCTGATTGCACAGTGAAACTGTGGGATTTGACCAAGATGCCCAAACCTGATGAGAAGAGCAAGTCTGGGAGTATCAATAGACTCCGGTCGCTGAAGACACTGCCCACCAAATCAACTCCAGTGTATGCCCTGAGATTCTCCCGTAGAAACCTCCTCTTTGCCGCGGGTGCTTTTTCTTCCAAAAGCACATAAACTATCAGGGAAAATTCTCACACTATGTTTGGTTCTAGGAAATCGGAAGGAAAAGAAAAAAATGGTTTTCTCTCGTTTTCTCACTAAAATGAGAAGAGGATTTGGTCTTCCCTCATCTTTAATACATTTTGCCATTCTCATTTTCTTTTCCTTCCACTTTTCTAATCTCTTCTTCTCTAGCCAAACAAGAAAAACAGTTTTTCATCTCATTTTCTTTTTTTTTTTCCCTTTCAAATTCCTTGAACAAAACATAGTGTTAATGTACACATCACAGCATATATAAACTCTCTTTTTTCAAAGAGTGTATGTTCACTTATTTACCCTTCTTGATTTTGTGTTTACACTATGAAGATTCTTGATTTCAAGTTGACATTATCAAGACTCTCTAATGGCTTGTTCACAGATGTTGTATGTCCATCTATTTGTTCATCATTGATTTCAATAGAATGAATTCTCTAAACCTTATCCTGTTGTACAGATTTGCAAATGACATTGCAAATGCATGTGAAAAACATAATTTCCCATCCCAATATCCTGTGGCAAGTAAGTTCAAAGATGATGTTGAATTATTACAGAGGCTTTGAGTATTGCGGAGATGGAGTTGTTTCAAATGATTCAATGAGTTGATGAATATGAACTCTTTTGTGGGGTGAAGAGTTTGAAGTTCAAAAAAAACAAAAAAAAATTGTGGATGCATAGCTGTGTAAGACTATGTGGTGAGCAATGGCGGAGTCAGGGAACACTTCATGGGGGGCAAAAATTCATGGGAAAAAAGACCAAAGTAGGACTAGAGGTGGCAATTAGGTCAACCGGATCGGTTTCGGGTTGGATTTTTTCGGTTCGGATATCTTTCAATTATATGTTATAATCGATTCGGTTCGGATCGGATCGGTTAAATTTCGGTTCGGATTTGATTCGGTTCTATACATTTTTCGGTTCAGTTCGGTTTCGAGTCGGTTCAGATACGGTTCGGTTATAAATCGGTTCGGATAGATTTTGGTTCGGATACATTTCGATTTCGAGTCTAGTTCGGTTCGGATATATTTCGGTTTTGGGTCAAATATATTTTGGATATATATTATTTTCTAATTAAAATTTAACTTTTCGTGTTTCTTTTTTATGTTTTATCACATTTATCAATCTATCATCAATTCAATACCTCATATTATTTTATATTTTTTTCTAGTTATATTATCTCTACCCTAAAATTCTATAAAACAAGATGTAACAAGACTATATCATTTTATAAAATAAATAATAAAAATATATTAAAAAAATAACTAAGAAAATGACTAAAACGTTTTAAGAATAAAGAGAGTGTTATTTATCATAGTGATCGAGATCGGTTATTTATCAGTGATACAAAATGACTCCGTGTTTTTTTTGTTCAATGACTTCAATCCTCATCCTCTCAAGTCTCATCCTCCGTTTTTTAATTTTTTGGGCATTTGGAGATTTGGGCTACTAGGCCGTGGATAGTTGGGCTGGGTCAAATGGATTTTTTAAAACCCATTCACCAAAACGATGTCGTTTCGTTTTGTATTTTTTTTCTTCCGCATCTGTTCATCTTCTTCGCTGGAGTGCTGGACTCTGCTCGTCGGCCGGCCGGGATTTCTTTGGGGGGGGGGGGGCAAATCCGGCCTTCCATCGCCGAGGATACCATAATCCTATTTCGCCGGAATTTTGCCGGGGGGGGGGGGGGGGGNGAGTGGTGACATTGTTTAGTTTCAAAATTTTGAAAAGATTATGTAGCGACATTGTTCAGTTTCAAAATTTTTAGAAATAATTTTACATATTAAAAAAGTATCTAAATTATTAACGCTAATTGAGAATGCTATTTCCAAACAAAGCCTATACCATACACTAAAGTCATGTTCTCTTCACCTGATTTGAATGATTCTGATCTGATTTAGATGTAGTTTTATTTAAAGCTGTTTTTGATCTTATCTGATCGGATCTAATTTGCTTCCAATAAAAATAAATAAGAAGTAAAAAAAATAAGCTGAGAAAAAAATTGCCTTATTCAATTAGGGGGCCCAATTCCAACATCCTGGAAGCCTATTTCCAGCAAAGGGATAGTGTGCATTAGATATAAGATGGACTTTGGCTTAATAATATAGAAAAAAGATCTTGCATTGCAAGATGTTTGTGACTCTAGCACTTCTCTTACGGTTAGAGAAATGCTAAACTCACAAACATTTTGATCACAAAATACACAATCTTGCTATTTGTGTACCTCACCAAGTGAATTAAATAATGTTAAATAATTAAAAAGAATATTTAAAGACACGAATGGCAAGGATGTGTGTTTTGTGATCAAGATGTTTGTGACTCTAGCACTTCTCTTACGGTTAGAGAAATGCTAAACTCACAAGCATTTTGATCACAAAATACACAATCTAGCTATTTGTGTACCTCACCAAGTGAATTAAATAATGTTAAATAATTAAAAAGTAAATATTTAAATACACAAATGGCAAGGATGTGTGTTTTGTGATCAAGATGTTGGTGACTCTAGCACTTCTCTTACGGTTAGAGAAATGCTAAACTCACAAACATTTTGATCACAAAATACACAATCTTGCTATTTGTGTACCTCACCAAGTGAATTAAATAATGTTAAATAATTAAAAAGTAAATATTTAAATACACAAATGGCAAGGATGTGTGTTTTGTGATCAAGATGTTTGTGACTCTATCACTTCTCTTACGGTTAGGTCCAAAAACTAGATCTTTCATGTGCATAATCGACAAAAAGAATAGGCTAATGTGTAATTGTTTTTCTATTTTATGGGCTATTGAGTTTGATGGACTAATGATTAAGGCAGACTACTAGTTACTCCGTATTAGTTAAATCTACAAATATTCGATGTGATCTCTTGATAAGTAGTTAAATTGTTTCTATATTTTTAAAACAACAACAACCCAGTTAAATCCCACAAGAGTAGGGTCTGGGGAGGGTGTGTGTACGCAGACCTTACTCCTACTCGAAAGTAGAGAGACTGTTTCCAAAGAGACCCCCGACTCAACGTCGAAAGTTGCATTGCTTGACTAACTGCTACTTCATTAATTAAAGAAGCGCAGACAGTTTAGAGATCGATTTTGATTTATTCCATCACTCCCCAAAGTTTCTAATTTTTAAAAGTTGTAAAATAGTCTCTATTGTTAAAGAACTAATGCATAATCAGTCTCTTCTTTAAAAAAAAGCGTAAAACACACAAAACATAAGCATAGTATGTGAAAATGTGAAGCATGTAACAAAAAAAGAAATTTATATCATGAAATTACCATTGTCTTCGTGGTTAAAGGCAATGAAAGGTCTTTTTTTAACTCTTTTCTCACGTGATTTTACTTTAGAGGAAAACGACTTGAAAAATAGAATAATGTCGAGCTTACATAGGACATTGTACTACGATTCAAGAATATCACTATAGAAGAGACGGTGAATTCGTTGTAAGAGTTAAACTAAAATATGAAAGATATTGTACTTTACAAACACTCTGGTGTAAGCAACTGGTGTATAAGTAACTAGTGTCATTTTAGACGCTCCCTTAATTAGTAATATCATTCCATTCTCCATTTGAGAAGAGTAGGGGGTCAATGCCCCCAACTAAAATCAGGGTAAATTGTAGTGAGTCATTTGCTTTCAAACAATAAAAACTCGAAGTGAATAATTGAAAAAATTATTACTATATATGGATTTATGCCATTAAATTGTTATGTACACATTTATGTCGTATTTTAATGTTTAATTTTATTTATATTTTACTTCTTTACGAGTTAATATCTTTTTAAGTGATTCTAATTTTAACATTTTCTAGACCCATCACTCTCAAAGACGTTATGATCCAACACTATTACTATGACTCCCCTTAATGAAATGTCATGTATTTAAACTAATTCAATAAATCTCCGGACTTCTATAAATTGAGAAAAAATATGAATAAATGCTTGCATTATAGTAGAATGTTATTACTTATTAGTGTTGAAAAAATTGTTTCATTCAAATGATCAAATTATCTCATATCAATTTCAAACGGTACTTGCTACTAATAATTTGGTCGTCATCTGCTCTAAACAGAGGGCGTCGTTGGGCCAACTAATAGACAATAACATCAAATTAATTAAATTCCAAACCCAAGTGTTAGGTGATTATCACCTGGTTGTGTCGAAAGTTAAGCCAAGTCAAATGTGCATCTTTATTAATTAGTTGTCTCCATTATATTAGAAAATCTATTAGTGAAAATGACACTTGTAGTGTGACTTGTATAGCCATGGGACATTTTTAGACAATAGTTAATGAAGTGTTTGCCATTGATTTAAATAATACAAACATTTTGGATCTTAATTGTATAATTTGAAATGGAATGCTGGAGTGGTTACAAGTTAACTAAAAAACAGAATCAATTGTAATTTAAGGAAATTTGTTCCCCAACATTGTTATGAAACTTTTAGAAAATATTTTTGTGTTTTTTGACAAACAACCCCAATAAGTTAGTGTCGTTTTAGAAGTTTGCTTATGTTACATTTATAGAGAACGCTACGGGTATCTAGCAAACACAGACATAATGTGTGTGCCCGAACAGACATAAAATGTATGCATTTGTTTTTAGTTAATTTTTTTTATGCTTTACGTGTCATCGTCTATTATATGTTAGTGAATTTATTTAAATCAGACAAAATTAAAAAAAGTAGATATTGAGTTCAGAGGCATTGAATATACGCTCGTTCAATAATAATACAAATTCCATAATGAAAATCCCAACCCCTAGCAAGGCGTCAGGGCCAAGGGGCTGATACGAATGTCGTATCGGATAGGGAAGAACTTCGAGCGTCTTCGGACTCCAAGAAAGGGGAGGCAAAGAGAGATGGAAAACTTCGAGCGTTTCCGGGCTCCAAGAAAAGAGAGACGAGAGATTAAGAGAATTCTTGATTATTGATTGATTGCATAATAACGGGGAAGGATTACAATATATAGAGAGTAATACGATACGCTAATTGAACTAATGGGCTCAGGCCCATACTAAACCCTAAACCCTATTAATTAAATAATATTAAATAATAAATACTAATAATTAATTAAATATCCTAATCACCATACATATCATTCCCACCCCCTTAAAAACCACCTTGTCCTCAAGGTGGAGGATCCCACTCATGCTTTTGGATATGTGAGAACATGATGAACCAGAAGAGACATCCATTTGCTGACCAATCTTCAAGAGGCTTCTCGGGTGAAGTATATAGGCATAAATAAAAGGG